GTGACCACACCGTGTGGTGAGTCGGCGGGGATTTGGGGTCACCGCACGATTTTGGGACTTGGGTCGTTCTGCGAGGATGTCTCGGGCGACTGGAGCCTCCAGGGTCCCAAAACCGTGTGGTGACGGATCTTGCGGTGAGGTCTTTGCGGATTTCGAGGTCACCGTCGGGTCTGTCACCACACGGTTTCGGGACACCCAATTTGCGAGGGGCCCCGGCCCGGGGGGCGCGGACGCAGCGCCATCTGCGAGGGATCGTGGCCCTGGATGGCTCGGGTTGGACGAGGGCTGGGCGGCTTGCGCTCACGGGCTCTCGAGCTCCTCCTCCTCCTCCTCCTCCGCCTTTTGCTCCTCTTCCTCCTCCTCCCCTTCCTCTCCCTCCTTGCCCCCTCCTCCCTCCTCTTCTGTCGCTTTCTCCTCCTTTTCTCCTCCTCCTCCTCCTCCTCCGCCACTTCGACGCGGCGGCGGCGCCAGCGCGGGCGCCAAAGGTTGAGAGCCTTCATCCCGGGCAGCGACAGGGGGGAACTGGCCCAGGGGGGAGGCATCGACCCCATATTGTACATCGCTCATGCAGCGCCAGTCGGGACCTGGGCGCCGCACCCCGCCCAAGAGTGCGGGGTGCGTACCCATCTCTAATTTCAGGCGGGCCTGTCCCTCTACAGGAGGAATATTCAAAACTAGTCAAAACATAGTCTGTGAGCATTGTCTGCCTTTTTTAATCATTCGTCCAAAATCCGCCTGTAGGAGGACATGCCTGGCCTAACGCTAATTCGCCCGTCGCCGATCTATCGGCGGTGTGTTGCTGATGCCACGTCAGTGTTCACCCCCCTGAGCCAGTCCCCCCACCCCCGACCGCTCCCCTCGGGGACAACGATAGGGGGGCATAGGGGGGGACGCATCGACACCCAATCGCCCATAGATCGCCGATAGGTGCCCGATAGCCCCAACCTGCCCAGGAAGGTGCGAGTCAACATTGGGGGCCTATCGCTGATCTATCGGCGATGTATCGCCAATTCCAGGTCGATGCATCCCCCCTATGCCAGTCCCCCCTCTCGTTGCCCCTCATTTCCCTTACCTCACGGCCACGGTGCAAGATCCACGCGAAAGGGTACGGCGGGCCAGAACACCCGACGTGCGAAGCTGCGTTGAGCACGGCCTCCTGTGCTCAGTTCCTGGTGTCGTGCATTGACCACTACGGCTCGGTACAGACCATTGTTAGAGACAAGCCCACACGGCGATACAGGTGCATTGCATGATGGATCTAGCCTCTGTTATCACGCAAGGTATCGTTTGAAACTTATGATTGGCAGCGGGCAGCCTCGCCTATGCTTCCAGAGGGCCAACACCTTGGTCATCCTGCCCGCCCCGCCGCGCGCTCCTCCTCATGCCCCCCTCTTCTCAACCTCAGCCTCCTCCTCAGCCTCCTCCTCCTTTGCCTCTCCAAAACGTGCTCACCCTCGTTCCCTGGATTCCTCCTGGGGTCCATCCTGGCCATTGCCTCATCATGGATCTAGTCTTGACGGCCCTTGGGCTCGAAGAGGATTCTGGAAGTCGTTTGCTGCTCTTGCTCGTCGTCCACCTCTTCCTCCTCCTCCTCCAACTCCTGCTCCTCCTGCTCCTCCTCATTGCCTTCCACTCGCCACCACTTGCCCAACATACTCGTTCTCGGACTCATGGATGGCTTCGCTCTCCATCCAGGGAGCACGTGGGCTCCTGCCGGTGTTGTTGAGCACAACAGCCGTCCCCCCCGCTCCCCCTCATCGCCACCTCCCTCCTGCTTCCTCCAGGGCAGAGAGGACGCGCAGCGAAGCGGGGAGGGCGGAGGACTACAGTCAAGGCGCTGAAATAAAAAACAGTTTGGGTTCGGAAGGGGCTCGATGTTCCTCCGGTGCTGTACCTCTTGCCCTCCTGGGGCACAGAGGCGGTCACCGGGCCAAGAAAGGGCTTCGCTCCTTATTTGGTGTTCCTTCTTTCAGCGGCCCGACTGTATGGGGAGTGGTTGAGGTGGCGAGGGCGATCGGGGGCCCGAGGCCCCAGATCCTGTCCCCGGGGCCGCCCTCGCAGCAGGCTCGCGACAAGTTGTGCCGACCCGGGAGGCACACGTCAAGTTAGTTAGTTTTCAACCAGTGGCAGGACCCAAGGGTTATCAGGGCCAGGTCCCATCATGGAGCGCGGCCTCAGCATGCAGCGGTTGGTCTCTTTGCAGGTGACGGATATGCAGACATCGTGATCAAAGCTCACGCAGTGGAGGAGTACGACGCGTCCATTGCCACTCACCAGTACGTATCCTTCTCTTCGTACATAGATGACACTGGCATCGGCGTGGAAGGCGACACGAAGGAGGAGGTCATTCGCAAGGCTATTCAAGCAGGGCGAGGTTTTCGAGCCACGGCGGCAAAGCTCAAGGCGACCATCAATGACACGTTTGCCATCGTGAGCAGTTCGGATGACATCAGCAATCAGATTGCGGACGGTCTCATGGTCAAGTCACAATCAGCAAAGAAGGTTGTTTGTTTTCTGGGCATTGACTTCTCTGTAGGAAAAAGCGTAGTGTGACAGGCACGAGGGGAAAGTACCAGGCACGAGCTCGTCGCCATCGGCAACGGATGCGCAAGCTTGGCAAGTTTCGAACGGCGACCCCCACTGAGGCCAGTGAACGGATAATGAGGATACACAGAGCAGGGGCCAAGCCCGCCCTGGCGTTCGGCGTTGAGACCAACGGCATGAGCGACATAGAGTTGGATGCGTTTCGCAAAGATTGCCAACGCCAGCGTAACCCTTACCATGGTGGGGTATCTGCGTCGGCGGAGCTAATCCTACTTGGAGATCCAGCTGCGCGTGAGGCGCTAGCACCAGCATTCCAGTGGTGCCGTATGTGCTGGATTGCGAATCGTTGCCCCCAGGCGTCCACCGTGCAGCCCAGTGAATTGCTGCAGTGGTAGGACAGTGCTGTTACTGCGCAGGGAGTGCTGGCGACATGGATTCACACAAGACGGCCGCTGCAAAGAGTTGCTCTATGTGTCCGACGTGCACGATGGACCGTCCTAATCCAATAGCCCTTATAACGGCGACGATGGAACACAGTGCCGGGGAACTGCTTTGAACATCACCAGTCGTTCAAAGCAGTGCCCCGGCACTGCTTTGAACGATGCGGAAATGCGATCAGCAGGAGCCTTCGTCTGTTCCTTCTCCTCTTCTCGTCGCTGTATGCTCTTCCTTGTCCTCCCTCCTCCCCCGTTCCCTCTCTAATTAATTACCTCGTTCTCCCAGTCTCACGCGCACTCTTCCTCCCCCCTCTCCTCCTCCTCTTCCTGCTTCTCCTCCTCGTCCTCCTCCTCCTCCGCCTCCTCCCCCTCATTTGTTATATTTCTCCGTCCTTGTCCTCCTGTCCCCGTTCTCCTTCTCCCTCTCCTCCTCCTCCTCCTCCTCGTCGTCGTCGTCCTCCTCCTCTTCCTCCTCCTCCTCCTCCTCCTCCTCCTCTTCCTCCTCCTCCTCCTCCTCCTCCTCCTCCTCCCCTTCTTCCTCCTCCTCCTCCTCCCCCTTTTCCTCTCCCTCCTCCTCCTCCTCCTCCTCCTCCCCCTTCCCCCTCTTCCTCCTCTGCTATCACTCCTCCATAATTCCTGTCCGCTCCTTCCCTTCACTGATCTTCCTCTTCGTCATCATCATCCCTTTCGTCGCACGCCTCTTAATCCTCAATCGGTTCCCAATCTTCTCGACTTTCTTGTCATCCGCGTCCTTGGCTGTTGGAGGGGCCTCAGGAATTCTCAGGGCTCTTGTGTTGCACGCGAAGGCACACCTCCCAGGAACGCATCATCCTCCTCACATTCACCCTCCTCCTCCTCATCATCCTCCTCCATGCACGTTCGGCTCAAGCCCGCGCCGACGGTAGGTTTCACGGCGGTTGGGCGGGCTCGCGCCCGCCTCCGCGGCCTGCAGTCGGGGCAGAGATGCGTGCAGGGTGGGATGACAAAGCGGAAGAGGAAACACGGGCCGCAGTTGCGGATTCTTCAAAGAGCAGCGGCGGCGGTTGGGGAACAAGTGGGGGTTGGGGCGGCCGCAGTGGCGGATACGGCGGCGGAGGTGACCGCAGTGGCGGCTGGGGCGGCGGAGATTCTCTTGGCGGATGGAGAGGAAAAGCGCAGGATGGCGGCGACGGAAGTGACCGCAGTCGCGGATGGGAGGGCGGCGGATGGGGCGGCAACGGATGCGAGGGTTGGGGAATGGAGGGCGCCCGCTGGTGGGACGACGAGGGTGGCTGGTGGAATGCATGGGAAGGTGGCCGCTCGAGTGCCTCGGCAGGTTCTCCTGCCGCGGAGCCCGCGGCCGCAACAGCGGCGGGCAAAGGAGGCGGTCCCCTGCTTCCCCCAGGGCGCGAAGAACAAGGCGCAGTTGCGCTGTTTCAAATTGTGCGCAATGAGCCGCTGCCAATTTTCAAGTTGGAATTCTTCGAGAACTTCAGGGCGAACTGGAACGGCAATTATAAGCAGCACAACGCGGCCTTGAAGTGGTTCCGAGACGAGTACGAAGACCGAGAAAACCCTTTCGGCAGCCGCACGCCCGTCTTCGGAGGTACCGCAGTTGCGGAGGAAATTTCGAAGATCCTTAAGTACCGCGCAAAGGGGAAGGCGCAGGACAACAGGGATTGGGACTGGGACCACACTGTCAAAGTGCCGTGGTCTTGGCTGGAGATGGTCGCGCAGATGGATGGACCTACAATGCTGCGCGTCGTGTGCGGCCCTGACAATGACCGCAGTCGCGGGTTGGTCCGCTGCGAGTGCCGCCCGTGCCCTAGCAGTCTCGACAACATGAGGCACACGAAAGGGGTGGACAGAGGACAGGCGCAAAGAATCCCTCTGCCCCAGTGGGATTTCGTCCTCATCCGCGACGACGGCTCGGGCATTCGCGTCCACCCATCCTGGTCTAGCCCGAAGTTCAACACGTATGAGGTGGAGCCGCACTCGCATCCCGTGCGGGGCCCGAGGGCAGGTCTCGGCAAGAGCGATGGCCACGGAACGTTCACGTTCTGGAAGATGCTGCACGCCCATCCGAATCCTGGGCGGTTCGACGCGAGCAAGGGGGCGCAGCTGCAACCGCGGTGGTCCGCGCAGCCTTGACACCGCAGTTGCGGGATTGCGCAGCCATGGAACCGCAGTTGCGGGGACCGATCGCGTGACGCCGCGCTCGTTTGACTCACTATGCGCGCTTTCGGCCGCAGTTGCGGCGCTGCCTTCTAGCGACTTCATACAGCTTGGCCGCAGTTGCGGCGCTCCCACGACTGACCGCTGTAATTAGGTGCTTCGGGCGCGCATCACCTCCGTTGAAGCACTCGTGACGTTAATTAGCGCGGCCGCAGTTGCGGAGACAGGTACTTAAACAGATGGATCCGCAGTTGTTCGTCGTCCTCGTCGCCCCTTCCCCGTCGTCCTCGTCGCAGTCTCCTCCCTCCGCCTTTCCTCCTCGTCGCAGTTCCTTCCGTTGGCCGTAGCCCGCCTCCGTTGGCCGAGTCATTTCCCGTCGTCCTCGTCGCAGTCCCCCCCGAGGGCCGCAGTTGCGGACTTTGTTGATTCCTCCTCCTCCGTTTCTGCCCCGTCATCCTCGTCGCAGTCCCCTTGCTCCTTTCACCCTCGTCTGAGCTCTTCGCGCCATCCTCTTCCGTCGCGTCCTCTCCATCCTCCTCTTCGCCTTCCTCGTCCTCATCCCCGCCGTCTCCCTCGTTGCCCTTCCTCTCCCAAGCCGGCCGCAGTTCCCCCGTCGGACGGGGGCCGCGCGCGGCCACGCCATGGACCCAGGTCGCAAAGCCGAGGTCGACAAGCGGTTCGCCGAGCTGAAGCAGCAACTGCGGGAAAGGTTCGGCCTGCAAGGGGCTGCCGCGGATGCCGCAGTCGCGGAGCCGACGGAGGACCGCAGTAGCGGAAGCCCCGAGCGACCGCCGCGCGAGGCCTCCCCGCAGTCGTCTAGCTCCTCGCGGGAATATCGGCCGCCGCCGCCGATAAGCGCTGCGAGTGGGAGCTCTGCTGGTGGGAGGCGCGAAGAGGCGCAGTTGCGCAGGGCGCACTTGACCCCCAAGGCAAAATGGGGGCCTCGGGCGCAGACGCCGACGAAGCAGCAGGACCAACCAGCAGTGACGGGAGCCGCCACCGAGACCGCAGTTGCGGGGGTGGCCGGCGAGCCAGGTGCCGCGCGCGGCTCATCTGGGAGCAGCGCGCCCTCGGCCGTGCTGCTCGCAGCCGAGTCCAAACGAGGCGCCCAACCCGAAGACGAGGCCGCCTCCCAGGAGAAAGCCGCCGAGACAACCGCCTCGGCCGATTCGCGGCCGAGGAAAAGGCCGCCTCCCACGAAAGACTCGCCGCTGTCAGAACCGCAGTCGCGGGGTCGCGCGGGGCCTCCGTCGGAACCGCAGTTGCGGGAAGATGCGGGAGCACCGCGGAAGAAGCAGCGGACAGGTCCCCTCCAGGGATAAACTACGTTGGGGAACGCCCCAAGTGGAACGAAGGATTCCTTCGTACAGCAGACGGCAATCGGGTTCCGTCCACCATCGCTTTGGTGTTCAACGTGGTGGTCATCACGAAGGTGGCAACAAAGGAAGATGTCTTCAGGTGCATCTTGCACCAAACTGCGGCGGTCGTCTTCGTCGTATGGGACCCCGAGCTGTTCCGCACGGGGAACGTCGAAGGCGCTTGCAGCTACGACGTTCCCGTTGGACTCAGGACTGCCGTCGAAGACGCTGTCACTTTGAAAAACAACACCGCGGAGCCTTACTGGACGACGGTTGGCCTGTTCAGAGACACGGGCGTGGTGCTCGTGCGCCCGCACATCATCGCAGAGACCGCAGTTGCGGGTCATGTTGTTGGGGCCACCCACGCCGTCACGATCCTGCGCTTTCGCCTGAAGGGCTCCGACATGAATCCTGCCGCGGTGATCCGTTTTGCCGTCGTGTCCAGACACGCAGTCACCGAACGTCTCCAACAGAAGATCACGCAAACAGAACAAACAGCGTGGCAGCCAGGTTTCTTCAAGGACGCGGTTGCTTCCATCCATAAAAATGATGTGCGGTTCTTGTGCGGCTTGTTTGACATCCCGCCTGAGCAGCTCGCAGCATTTGGCCGCAGTTGCGGAGCCAGCTACACCTGCCCGGTGGGGGTGGTGTTCAGGGCTGGACCCGCCCTGTTCGGAGGCATTGTGGAGGGCACACGCGTCATGCATCCGAATTACGTCCTCCCCATTGGCCCGTGCGACGTGCGCATTGCGGACTACAACCTGGATTTTGCAGGGAGGCCGTCGAAGAACGATCCCCAGTGGCTCCCTGATTGGATGCATCGAACAAGCGACTCCATCATCTCTCGGCGCTGGGTCCCAGCGAAGTACATGCCCAAGTGGGAGGATGACCCTGACCGCAGTAGCGGAGTCAGAGAAAAGCTCGGATTGGCAGCGCTGCCCCCAATCGGCAAGGTCATTCAGAAGGAGCTCAACGAGAAGACCTTCAGCACGCACTGGTGCGAGGGCAT